GGTGTGTATTGATCCACACACGGTGTGTATTGATCCACACACGGTGTGTATTGATCCACACACGGTGTGTATTGATCCACACACAGTGTGCATTGATCCACACACAGTGTGTATTGATCCATACACAGTGTGTATTGATCCACACACAGTGTGCATTGATCCACACACAGTGTGTATTGATCCATACACAGTGTGTATTGATCCACACACGGTGTGTATTGATCAGTTCCATACAGATACATGGGTTGTTGCAGACCTCATTATTAGTTCTGTTTTTAGCTGATGTAGCTGTAGATATTACTAACATGCTAACATGCTAACTCTTGTAGCTTGTCACAGATGTTTGTTTCTGAGTTTTACCATGAAATGTATAAAATGTGTGTTAGTCCTCCAGCAGACCAGCTCTGACTTTGATCCACCAGGTGAAATTTTAGCTGATGTTTTGTTTTGCAGGTTCAGTCCATCGAGTCGAAGCTGGACTCTCTGCTGGACATTTATCGTCAGGTTTTACGTAAAGGCTCCTCGGCCGTCACGCAACAATCCTCTCTGCCCCTGTTCGAGTTGGAACAGACGTCTGACTCTTCAGTTTTCAGTAAGGACCTGTCCRGTTCTGCTCAGGTGGGAAGGGGAGGAGGCGGAGCGCCCCCCTCAGGTGGTTTTGTGACGCGCTCCTCTCCCGGAGTCCACATGTCCCAGGGAGGACTGCATCTGATCCTGGCTCCTCAGAACGAGCTCAACTTCAACGCCTCCCTGTCCACTCCCCGCTCTGGTCCCACCTCTGGCCCCGCCTCTTCCTGCTTCAGCCCTTCATCTCTGCCCCCGCCTCATCGTCATCAGGCCACGCCCACTGAAAGCGGTGCCAACGACACGGTCCTCACGCCGAACGGCACCAGTGGTTCTGGGAGCCGGAGWGTCGGAGGAGAGTTCCCTCTTCTGGCCAGACTTCCTCCGCCCCCGTCCAACTGGACCGGACCGAAGCTGGTGCGAGGGACTCCTACGGAGACGTGTCCCGAGATGGAGGACTTCTGCGGAGGTTTGGGGAGGCAGGTGGGGGACACGGGTCTCAGGGAGGACCTTGGACTGGAGCTGAGCAGTCTCAACGCCAAGGAGGACGGCTCCTGGAGGAGACACATGAGCCTGGAGCTGGAGCCCCTGGTGCCCCCCGTCCTGAGCTGCTGCCCCCGACCCGTCCACGTGGACCGAGGACTGGGCAAGTCCATGTCGGTGCAGGACCTGATGCAGGTCTCGCCGGTCCACAACGCACACGAAAGCCACAGCCTGTCGTCTCCGAGCCCCAGCACCAGCAGCGACTCCCCCGTCGGCCTCCACAGCCGGGACCCTGGGGGGGACGGCAGCTGGGGGGTGGAGGACCTCTTTATCAGCGACAGGGACATGAAGGGACAGCGGTTCAACTTCCTGTCCCAYGGGACAGCTGAGGCCTTTTCTTCTGAGCTCCTGAGGACAGGAGGAAGAGGGGGGGCGGGGCCTCGAGGATCCAAACGAAGCCTGGCCAGTGGTCCCTCCCCCTCCCCGTCCCCCGGCAGCACYGAACTCATGAACATGAAGCACGTTCGGTTAAAATAAAACTGAGCAGGTCTGGAGACGTCCCTCCTGAGACGGTTTTTATCTTTTTAAAGGTTGTTTTGTTTCTTTGAAGTTTCAGTGTTTTCATCCAGGCTGGAATCAGAACCAGTTTCAGGTTTGAGAAAAAAAAACACAATTTATCCTGAAATAAATAAACAGCAGTTTGTTTACTCCAGTGTAAAAATACAGACATAAAGTATGTTCTAACAGCACAAACATTTATCTTTTATCTGATGTTGCACTAAAACTACGTTTCATCTCTTTCCATAACTTATCGTTTGTTTTCAAATCTCAGTTTATCCTCAAATAAATCAATTATTTAACATTAATCTCTTTCAMCACAAACAAAACTATTTCAAACTAACAGACTGTTTATTAGATCTGTTTATGAATTCAGAAAATTTTAGCTTTAATTTTTTTATTATTTTGTCTAACTTGAGGTACGATAAAGTGGAGATAAATTGTTGCCAAAAAGTTTGTTCAAATAAAAATTATTTTTAAAACTGAACAAAAATGATTTGAAACTGATTTTTAAAAAGTTAAAATGAACATGTGTGGCAGGACATTGTGTTCTATAACTTAATAGTATGGCAGGTCATTGCGTCCTATATTTTCAAAGTATAGCAGGCTGTATCATAATGAGCATGTAGGGCAGTTTATTGTGTCCTATAATTTCAACTTATGGCAGGCTGTTGTATCATAATGAGCAAGTATAGCAGGTCATTGCGTCCTATATTTTCAAAGTATGGCAGACTGTTATATCACATAATGAACAAGGTATGGCAGGTAGTTGTATCCTATAATTTACAAGTATGGCAGGTTGTTGTATCCTATAATGAACATACAGTATATGGCAGGTTGTTACGATCTATGGTTTCAAAGTATGGCAGGCTGTTATATCACATAATGAACAAGTTATGGCAGGTAGTCGTGTCCTATAATTTACAAGTATGGCAGGTTGTTGTATCATATAATGAACATTCAGTATATGGCAGATTGTTGTGATCTATGGTTTCAAAGTATGGCAGGCTGTTATATCACATAATGAACAAGGTATGGCAGATAGTCGTGTCCTATAATTTTAAAAATATGGTAGTTTGTTGTATCATATAATAAAAATCCTGTGTAATTTTTATTTCTTTTTCAAATATTTTCTTTCAGTTTCCAAAAAAATATTATTTGAACAAACTTTATAGCCTCAATTCCATAGCTAATTAAACAAAACAGATTATCAAATATTTTTTAAATAACAAACATTCAAATAATAAAAAAAATAAAATTTTCTCTTGGTGTTTGAAGGATTTCCAGCTGCAGTCCTGAGTTTAGAGCAGACTGGCACTGAGTGAACCACAGGGAGATGTTTTAGGAGTTAATATATTTTAAATAACATTTTTTAAAAGGGCATGGTACTTTATGGGGCACTGAATATTTCAGTCTGGTTTGGTACAGTCATTTTATTTTCCATCTGGAGGAGCAGAGAACCATGTCAGAACTCTGAAGGTGGGTTTATTCTCCATCTGATCTGACAGACGAGGTTAAGAAAACTTTTTATTCACATTTTTTCTCTAAAGAGGGAACTCCTGCTAAGCCCCTCCTACTGCAGCGCACGTATTGATTGCACGGTTAGTGAGCGGATGTTTAGTTTCAGTTGATGGTGGCGGATGAAGATGAAGCAGGAACACTCTCCAGAACCTCCATCTCTATAAACTCTGACAGAGCAGCTGTATTTTCTAACAGCCTCGACCAGCACTGAAACTAGTTCAGAGCGTAAACACGCCCACAAAGTTCTGACCAATCACATCTGGCGCACTCCCCTATCACAAAGTTCTGACCAATCACATCTGGCGCACTCCATCACAAAGTTCTGCCAGCAGGATGTGCGCAGAATAGAACGG